TACATTGACAGGCACATTGACAGCCACATTGACAGCCACAACTCAACAATCGTCTGTTTGATATTTGCCCCGTGTGCTGCCCAATTGCGGGATTCCCGACTGTAGGCCTGTATGTGCTTGTGATGTGACGAAACACAATAACCATTTTCCCCCTGTGGCTAAATTACGCTCTCTGGTGTAGAATTTTCAACGATTTCATTTATTTCTGTAGAGACAGGAGTAATGAGGCCTATATAATTTGACAAATGTATTTGAATTTATCTGCAGCACTTACAGTAGCCTACCCCTTATTGTGGCTATGTTTTCTTCCATGCGGCGTGATCTCCCCAAGGCCAAATCATCAACACTTCTTGTTATTAAATCAATGGATTGTGGTCAGTACCCCATATTAGGTTAATTGCGTAGGTAGGCCAACTGTTACAATAATAGTCTATTTAAACTAATCTATCAGCAAGTAGCCTACAATTACAAGAGAGTAAAGTCTGTAAGTCAATGAACAAGTATTTGTATCTAATCACTTATTTTCCCTGTTTAGCCAATAGTGGTTTAGCTATATTGTTATAGAAACGATGCAGGCATATACTCCCTTTTTAACCATTGTAGCACAGGTTCTATATTCATAAGGCTAATAAGAAAATATATAGCAGATACATTCCATTACAGCTGCGCCGTTGTAGGTTTGGACAATGAGTTTCTCTATGAAGTTAAACTCAGACATCTCAAAATTCATAAAGTCAAACACAGACTGCGCATCTCGCCCACTTGACACATCAAAGTAGCCCAAAAAACGTTCCTGAATAAAGCCCTGATCATCCACAAGTTATCCACACGGGCCCTGATCATCCACTTCGTCAACCACTTTGAAAAGAAGGTTGACGACATCCGATCCTCGTTTGTTAAGTCTAATGACACTGCTGGTCCTACTCACACTGCCCTACCCTATGCTTTGACTTCTTTCTCCCCTCTCTCTCCAGATAAAATCCTGCGACTTGTGACTGCAGGCCGCCCAACAACCTGCCCGCTTGACCCCATCCCCTCCTCTCTTCTCCAGACCATCTCCGGTGACCTTCTCCCCTACCTCACCTCGCTGATCAACTCATCCTTGACCGCTGGCCATGTCCCTTCCGTCTTCAAGAGAGCGAGAGTTGCTCCCCTTCTCAAAAAACCAACACTCGATCCCACTGATGTCAACAACTACAGACCAGTATCCCTTCTTTCTTTTCTTTCCAAAACTATTGAGCGTGCCGTCTTTAGCCAACTCTCTTGCTATCTCTCTCAGAATGACCTTCTTGATCCAAACCAGTCAGGTTTCAGGACTGGTCATTCAACTGAGACTGCTCTTCTCTGTGTCACGGAGGCTCTCCGCACTGCTAAAGCTAACTCTCTCTCCTCTGCTCTTGTCGTTCTAGACCTGTCTGCTGCCTTTGATACTGTGAACCATCAGATCCTCCTCTCCACCCTCTCCAAGCTGGGCATCTCCGGCGCGGCTCACTTCTGGATTGCGTCCTACCTGACCGGTCGCTCCTACCAAGTGGCGTGGCGAGAAGCTGTCTTCGCACCACGTGCTCTCACCACTGGTGTCCCCCAGGGCTCAGTTCTAGGCCCTCTCCTTTTCTCCCTATACACCAAGTCACTTGGCTCTGTCATATCCTCACATGGCCTCTCCTATCATTGCTACGCTGACGATACACAACTAATCTTCTCCTTTCCCCCTTCTGATAACCAGGTGGCGAATCGCATCTCTGCATGTCTGGCAGACATATCAGTATGGATGACGGATCACCACCTCAAGCTGAACCCTGGCAAGACGGAGCTGCTCTTCCTCCCGGGGAAGGACTGCCCGTTCCATGATCTCGCCATCACGGTTGACAACTCCGTTGTGTCCTCCTCCCAGAGTGCGAAGAGCCTTGGCGTGACCCTGGACAACACCCTGTCGTTCTCCGCTAACATCAAGGCGGTGACCCGCTCCTGCAGGTTCATGCTCTACAACATTCGGAGAGTACGACCCTACCTTACACAGGAAGCGGCACAGGTCCTAATCCAGGCACTTGTCATCTCCCGTCTGGATTACTGCAACTCGCTGTTGGCTGGCCTCCCTGCCTGTGCCATTAAACCCCTACAACTCATCCAGAACGCCGCAGCCCGTCTGGTGTTCAACCTTCCCAAGTTCTCTCACGTCACCCCCCTCCTCCGCACACTCCACTGGCTTCCAGTTGAAGCTCGCATCCGTTACAAGACCATGGTGCTTGCCTATGGAGCAGTGAGGGGAATGGCACCTCTGTACCTTCGGGCTCTGATCAGTCCCTACACCCAAACGAGGGCATTGCGTTCATCCACCTCTGGCCTGCTGGCTCCCCTTCCTCTGCGGAAGCATAGTTCCCGCTCAGCCCAGTCAAAACTGTTCGCTGCTCTGGCACCCCAATGGTGGAACAAGCTCCCTCACGACGCCAGGACAGCGGAGTCACTCACCACCTTCCGGAGACATTTGAAACCCCACCTCTTTAAGGAATACCTGGGATAGGATAAAGTAATCCTTCTACCCCCCCCCCCCCCCCCCCCCCAAAATTGTAAAGTGGTTATCCCACTGGCTATAGGGTGTGTTTGTGAGTCGCTCTGGATAAGAGCGTCTGCTAAATGACGTAAATGTGCCCTTGAGCAAGGCACTTAACCCTAATTGCTCCTGTAAGTCGCTCTGGATAAGAGCGTCTGCTAAATGACTAAAATGTAAATGTAAATGTAAATCCCAATGCCTCGTACCATTTTATAAAGCCCCCGTGGCCTGCAGAATAAGCTCATATTAAACCACATGTGGTCCATTCCCAGTGGTATCCAGCACCAATACGAACACAGGCTGTATCCCAAATAGCACCCTATTCCCTATATGTGGTCCTCTGTAGCTCAGCTGGTAGAGCACGGCGCTTGTAACGCCAAGGTAGTGGGTTCGAACCCCGGGACCACCCATACACAAAAAAAATGTATGCACACATGACTGTAAGTCGCTTTGGATAAAAGCGTCTGCTAAATGGCATATTATTATTATTATTTAGTGCACTACTATGGGCCCTGGTCAAAAGTAATGTACTATAAAGAGAATAGGATGCCATTTGGGATTCCTGCCAAGAGAAAACAAAACAAGCTAAAAGCCAATCTGATGTTTAAACCTACATAAACAGAAAATACACTCATAAACAGTCAACATCAGGCAATCAAGTAAGAAATGGCTGACCAGAAGACAAAATCATCTTACCCCACGACACAAGATAAAGAAACCAGAAACGAAAAGAAAGGGCTGTCTTCCAACAGCTGCTTAACTGGCCAGTCTTACCTCAACCAATCAATGATCAACTCAGTAATATCAATGTCCTGTTCATCAGATATGTGTATCCCAGGGTAGGCTACATTATTTTTCTCCACATAACATCACAGGCAAGCTGGTCAGAGTTCCACACAACTCCTCCCTAACTAACAATGACTACAGAGCCATATGGTATATAGACATACAGATAAAGTATCTCTATACTGTACATGACTTTGGGACTAATGATCGGTTCATAAACATGATTAAGCTTAGAACATATTGTCGTTAGATAATTAAGTGATAATGCCCGAGAAGCCGGTGTTTGGAGGATATTTTGGCACGGTTGATGTTTGGCCCGAGACGAAGTCGATGGCCGGCAAACCGTGTAAATATAATCTCCAAATACCGGCTTTGAGGGCATTATCACTTAATTATCTAACGACAATATGGTCTAAGCTTAATAATGATGTCAGCTGATTCATGTCCAGACTCCCGACACGTTCATTACTATGGTACAGCTGGAGATCGAATTTGAATATTGAAACAATGTTGCAAATGTCGGAGAGACAGACAGCAAGGTTTATACAAATCTCTGATGTTGAAAACTAAATGTTAGTCTAAAAGAAATGTGAGATAATGTCTAGATGCTTTTATAGCGGAGATCAAGTTTATAAATTGCCTGGCTGGGCTGATGAGACAGTGGATTGCGCAGTCAGATGGAACAGAGTAAATAGACATTTTAACGTCCTAGATTTAGCCGGTGGTAACTTCTGGAATAGACACCGGCTGGAATGCGCTTTTAACCAATCAGCATTCATTTATTTATTGGGCTGTGTCTGAAAACGTTACTAGCTGTCAAATCCTTGCTTCCTCCGTCCTTGTTTCCTCAGTTCTACTCAAAGCGCATTGGAGGAGAGGAGAGGATCCAAGGTCCCTCCCATGGTCCTCTTCCTCCAATGAGCTTTGAGAGGAATTGAGAAAACAAGGAAGCAATGATTTGACAGCTAGCAACGTTTTCCTCACTCATTGGGCTGTGAAACTAGCCCTCAAAGTGTTAATTCAAAAGCCTGGCCTTCATTTCATCAGAATCAGAGGATAATAATACCTGTAGGTGTTGCTGTTGTTTGGCAACGCAGACTGTTATCTCATTGGTTGAGGCATCACTGAGAACAAGCCACCTGTGGAGTGCCATTGCATTTCTGTGTGGGGAGGAATGGAGGCGATGCCTTTTTGTGTGGTGGGGGGGGGGGTCTTTATAAAAAGTGAGAGGGCATAGGAAAAACCGTCAGTGGTTGGTTCCCCTGAGACAGACAGACAGACAGACAGACAGATAGACGCTCGTCTCCAGACTCTACAGAACACAGGTATTATGACCTTCCAGGAGTCATGTAACAAGGGTTCACTTTATAATGTTTTATATTTGAAAATTGGACTTGTCTTTTTCATTTGTTTGTCTTTCTCTCCTCTGTGTTAGTGTTTTCATTCTTCCTGCTCTGTGACCTGCTCTTAGGGAAACAACTGACATATTTATATTATCTCCTTTATCTCTATCTCTCCCCATCCCCTCTCTCTCTCTCTCTCTCTCTCTCTCTCTCTCTCTCTCTCTCTCTCTCTCTCTCTCTCTCTCTCTCTCTCTCTCTCTCTCTCTCTCTCTCCTAGTTGTCTTCCCCTCCACGGATCAAGCCCTATCTAACTGAGAGCCATGTCCTCCTCCTCTCTTCTGTGCTGCCTGCTGGTGGTGTGTGTTCTGGCTGTGGTCCAGATCTATGCAGCAGAGGAACGTAAGGTCCTCAAGGTGTTCAACCTCCGTGCAAGCAACCTGGACAGCAGCCTGCTGGGGACCGCTGATGCCTACGTCGAGGTAAATATCTCCTCACCTGAGTCACCTATCAACCATCATAGCTGATGTGCAGTGAGCTAACTGGGTGCTACTTGTAGACGTGGGTGGTGGATGAATGGAGGCTAGAACACACCCCCTTCATATAAATCTAAACTAAAAAATATATTAGGATTATTAGACTAATTATCATCATTATTATCATCATTCATGGAGTTAGTTAGAGGACTCATCTTTGTATCTGAGAACGGGCAGCACCATTAAGGCCATCTCCATTTTTCAGTAGTCCATTTTCACAAAGCTTATATTGGTGATTTACTGCCACCTGCAGGGCTGAAGTCCTGAACCAAATCTTGTGTCAGTCATTTACTGTGGCCACCAGATGGAGGTGATGAAGCTTAAAAACATTTGTAATGAATAGTTAACCCAGTTTGAAGAAAAAGACAATGCTCTCCTTGGTTGATCGCTCCCAACTCATAGGAATACCCACTGGTTTCCAATAGATATTACAGCCACAAAGTCAAAATTGCCTATATCGAAGAAAAAATATAATGAAAACAAAAATTAGAAGGATTACTTTATCCTATCCCAGGTATTCCTTAAAGAGGTGGGGTTTCAAATGTCTCTGGAAGGTTGTGAGTGACTCCGCTGTCCTGGCGTCGTGAGGGAGCTTGTTCCACCATTGGGGTGCCAGAGCAGCGAACAGTTTTGACTGGGCTGAGCGGGAACTATGCTTCCGCAGAGGTAGGGGAACCAGCAGGTCAGAGGTGGATGAACGCAGTGCCCTCGTTTGGGTGTAGGGACTGATCAGAGCCTGAAGGTACGGAGGTGCCGTTCCCCTCACAGCTCCGTAGGCAAGCACCATGGTCTTGTAGCAGATGCGAGCTTCAACTGGAAGCCAGTGGAGTGTGCGGAGGAGCGGGGTGACGTGAGAGAACTTGGGAAGGTTGAACACCAGACGGGCTGCGGCATTCTGGATGAGTTGTAGGGGTTTAATGGCACAGGCAGGGAGCCCAGCCAACAGCGAGTTGCAGTAATCCAGACGGGAGATGACAAGTGCCTGGATTAGGACCTGTGCCGCTTCCTGTGTAAGGCAGGGTCGTACTCTCCGAATGTTGTAGAGCATGAACCTACAGGATCGGGTCACCGCCTTGATGTTAGCGGAGAACGACAGGGTGTTGTCCAGGGTCACGCCAAGGCTCTTCGCACTCTGGGAGGAGGACACAACGGAGTTGTCAACCGTGATGGCGAGATCATGGAACGGGCAGTCCTTCCCCGGGAGGAAGAGCAGCTCCGTCTTGCCGAGGTTCAGCTTGAGGTGGTGATCCGTCATCCATACTGATATGTCTGCCAGACATGCAGAGATGCGATTCGCCACCTGGTTATCAGAAGGGGGAAAGGAGAAGATTTGTTGTGTGTCGTCAGCGTAGCAATGATAGGAGAGGCCATGTGAGGATATGATAGAGCCAAGTGACTTGGTGTATAGCGAGAATAGGAGAGGGCCTAGAACTCGCCACGCCACATGGTAGGAGTGACCTGTCAGGTAGGACGCAATCCAAGAGTGAGCCGCGCCGGAGATGCCCAGCTCGGAGAGGGTGGAGAGGAGGATCTGATGGTTCACAGTATCAAAGGCAGCAGACAGGTCTAGAAGGACAAGAGCAGAGGAGAGAGAGTTAGCTTTAGCAGTGCGGAGAGCCTCCGTGACACAGAGAAGAGCAGTCTCAGTTGAATGACCAGTCTTGAAACCTGACTGGTTTGGATCAAGAAGGTCATTCTGAGAGAGATAGCAAGAGAGTTGGCTAAAGACGGCACGCTCAATAGTTTTGGAGAGAAAAGAAAGAAGGGATACTGGTCTGTAGTTGTTGACATCAGAGGGATCGAGTGTTGGTTTTTTGAGAAGGGGTGCAACTCTCGCTCTCTTGAAGACGGAAGGGACATAGCCAGCGGTCAAGGATGAGTTGATCAGCGAGGTGAGGTAAGGGAGAAGGTCACCGGAGATGGTCTGGAGAAGAGAGGAGGGGATAGGGTCAAGCGGGCAGGTTGTTGGGCGACCTGCCGTCACAAGTCACAAGATTTTATCTGGAGAGAGAGGGGAGAAAGAAGTCAAAATCTTGTGACTTGTGACGGCAGGTCGCCCAGTGTGAGCAGGACCAGCAGTGTCTTTGATTTAACAAACGAGGATCGGATGTCGTCAACCTTCTTTTCAAAATGGTTGACGAAGTCATCCACAGAGAGGGAGGGGGGGGGGATTCAGCAGGGAGGAGAATGTGGCAAAGAGCTTCCTAGGGTTAGAGGCAGATGCTTGGAATTTAGAGTGGTAGAAAGTGGCCTTAGCAGCAGAAACAGATGAAGAAAATGTAGAGAGGAGGGAGTGAAAAGATGCCAGGTCCGCAGGGAGTCTAGTTTTCTTCCACCTCTTTAAGGAATACCTGGGATAGGATAAAGTAATCCTCCCCCCCCCAATTTTTTTTTTTTAAATAAATAAATAAATAAAATAAAAATATTGTAAAGTGGTTATCCCACTGGCTATAGGGTGAATGCACCAATTTGTAAGTCGCTCTGGATAAGAGCGTCTGCTAAATGACGTAAATGTAAATGTAAATGATTTCCGCTCAGCTGCCCGGAGCTCTGTTCTGTGAGCTCGCAATGAGTCATCAAGCCACGGAGCTGGAGGGGAGGACCGAGCCGGCCGGGAGGATAGGGACATAGAGAGTCAAAGGATGCAGAAAGGGAGGAGAGGAGGGTTGAGGAGGCAGAATCAGGAGATTGGAGGGAGAAGGATTGAGCAGAGGGAAGAGATTTTAGGATGGAAGAGGAGAGAGTAGCGGGAGAGAGAGAGCGAAGGTTGCGACGGCGCATTACCATCTGTGTAGGGGCAGAGTGAGTAGTGTTGGAGGAGAGGGAGAGAGAAAAGGATACAAAGTAGTGGTCGGAGACATGGAGGGGAGTTGCAAAGAGATTAGTAGAAGAACAGCATCTAGTAAAGATGAGGTCAAGCGTATTGCCTGCCTTGTGAGTAGGGGGGGACGGTGAGAGGGTGAGGTCAAAAGAGGAGAGGTGTGGAAAGAAGGAGGCAGAGAGAAATTAGTCAAATGTAGACGTAGGGAGGTTGAAATCCCCCAGAACTGTGAGGGGTGAGCCATCCTCAGGAAAGGAACTTATCAAGGTGTCAAGCTCGTTGATGAACTCTCCAAGGGAACCTGGAGGGCGATAGATGAATATATATCCATGATGTTTCCTCGAACTAACTCTATGATCATAATCATTCTCATTATTATCCAGGTATTCAGGGCTTTCGGCTTTCTTGGGAGGACAGAGGTGAAGAACGACAACACTGACCCCAGTTGGGAAGAGGAGTTCAGCTTCCTCAACGCCCGTGAGAACAACACCTTGAGGATGGAGGTGTACGACAGCGACGTGGACTTGGACGACCTGCTGGGGACCTGCGAGCGCTCCATCAAGATGGGAACCTTCCAGCATCAATGTTTCCTCAAGAAGGGTGGGACCCTGCACTACTCCTACACCCTAGAGCCTCTACAGTAGACCCTGTACTACTCCTACTCCCTAGAGCCGCTATAGTAGACCCTGTACTACTCCTACATCCTAGAGCCTCTATAATAAACCCTGTACTACTCCTACACCCTAGAGCCCCTACAGTAGAGCCTGTACTACTCATACACCCTAGAGCCGCTATAGTAAGTCGCTCTGGATAAGAGCGTCTGCTAAATGACTAAAATGTAAAATGTAAATAGTAGACCCTGTACTACTCCTACATCCTAGAGCCTCTATACTAAACCCTGTACTACTCCCACACCCTAGACCCTCTATAGTAGACCCTGTACTGCTCTTACACCCTAGAGCCCATACAGTAAACCCTGTACTACTCCTACACCCTAGAGCCTCTACAGTAGACCCTGTACTACTCCTACATCCTAGAGCCTCTATAGTAGATCCTGTACTACTCCTACACCCTAGAGCCTCTACAGTAGTCCCTGTACTACTCCTACACCCTAGAGCCCCTACAGTAAACCCTGTACTACTCCTACACCCTAGATTCTCTACAGTAGACCCTGTACTACTCCTACACCCTAGAGCCTCTATAGTAGACCCTGTACTACTCCTACACCCTAGAGCCCCTACAGTAGACCCTGTACTACTCCTACATCCTAGAGCCTCTAGAGTAGATCCTGTACTACTCCTACACCCTAGAGCCTCTACAGTAGACCCTGTACTACTCCTACACCCTAGAGCCCCTATAGTAGACCCTGTACTACTCCTACACCCTAGAGCCCATACAGTAGACCCTGTACTACTCCTACACCCTAGAACCCCTATAGTAGACCCTGTACTACTCCTACACCCTAGAGCCCCTACAGTAGACCCTGTACTACTCTTACACCCTAGAGCCCATACAGTAAACCCTGTACTACTCCTACACCCTAGAGCCTCTACAGTAGACCCTGTACTACTCCTACATCCTAGAGCCTCTATAGTAGATCCTGTACTACTCCTACACCCTAGAGCCTCTACAGTAGACCCTGTACTACTCCTACACCCTAGAGCCCCTACAGTAAACCCTGTACTACTCCTACACCCTAGATTCTCTACAGTAGACCCTGTACTACTCCTACACCCTAGAGCCTCTATAGTAGACCCTGTACTACTCCTACACCCTAGAACCCCTATAGTAGACCCTGTACTACTCCTACACCCTAGAGCCCCTACAGTAGACCCTGTACTACTCCTACACCCTAGAGCCCCTACAGTAGACCCTGTACTACTCCTACACCCTAGAGCCTCTACAGTAGACCCTGTACTACTCCTACACCCTAGAGCCCCTACAGTAGACCCTGTACTACTCCTACACCCTAGAGCCTCTACAGTAGACCCTGTACTACTCCTACACCCTAGAGCCCCTACAGTAGACCCTGTACTACTCCTACATCCTAGAGCCTCTACAGTAGACCCTGTACTACTCCTACACCCTAGAGCCCCTACAGTAGACCCTGTATAAAAGTATGCATTAGGGCATCTGCAATAGAATATACTTGGCAAAAACAAATGCATTTCTATAGCCTCCAAAATCGTTTTTACAATGGTGAAGGAGTTCAACGGCTGCGCAGTGTCTTCAAAACTGCGCCCCATGTTTGTCATCTAGGGTTTTGTACACATCATTGATTCCTACACCCTCAACTAGAGTAGATACCTACTCAACAACAACAACATCCGGCCCCCATCTAACCCCTCTCCTCTGACATGGCTTTCTCATTCTCCCCAGACTGAGCTGAAAAACCCTCCTCCCCCTCTTCTCAACCTCAGGCTCATCATAACAGACTAGATTCTAGAACATTGAGCAGTACAAAACTCCACCTCACCCCTACAGTTAGTTTATCGTACACAGTGTCTACACTGACGTCTATCTCTCAGTATGCCGCCTTGTGTATTTGATTGTTGACTCAGTTATATGACCCAGATCTGGTTGTCCCACTGTAGTTACAGGGTAGGTACTGTGTCTGTTTACCTTATGAACTGCAGTAGTGAATGAGTTAACCTCTGTCACTCACTGTGTCTGGCCTGCTGTCACTGTGTCTGGACTGCTCTGGTCCTCACTTTAGTATGACATCAATAAATACAAATCTTGTTTCCCTGCACAATGGTCTCAGTCTGGCTCTCTCTAGTTCTTCATTGAAATACTAAATGACCATACTCATGTTTTAGAAATTACAGCTAGCCTACAATTTGACAATGAGGCTTACATCTTTTCAATCATACTCTATTACCATGTTTAGTGTGGAGGCCTGTCTTTGGCCACAAATTGTCAATAGAACAGTGGAATTATGATATCAACAAGGTAATTTAACCTCTGTTAGAGAAAATGGAAGGTCTATGAGAAAACTAATACAATTCCTAGAGAGAGAACCTTTTAAGCTAAATGTGTTTGTTTACGGTCATAGTGTCTAAATCTTCCTGATTCAACCTTGGTTCTCTTTCACAACAGTAAAACATTTAAACAATCAAATAATATAGCATTTCCCCTGCAAAGAATGTTGTTGTTTTTTGGGATTATGATGAAGTAAGAAAGTAATATTCAGCTATTTTTGGTATACCTGGCCAGATGTACAGATAGCCAAACTGGACTCTTATTGTGCTGTAAGGAAACATGTTTTAAATGGAACAATGTTGGAACGAGGTTTACCAAACACATTTAAAGCCAGCTTGAACAAACACAGGTGTGGAAAAACGTGTTGCCGTGGGAATACGTCACGATGACACATGATAAGTCACTCACCTATTTGTCCCTTGTTGTGTTCCAAATGGAACCCTATTCCCTGTATGGGCCCTGGTCAAAAGTAGTGCACTATATAGGGAATAGGGCGCCATAGATCCTCTCCTCCAATGAGCTTTAAGAGGGAGGTTACTGGTCGGTTACTGGGAGCCTGGGACTAACAGGTGAGTAATAATGATGATAATTCTGTCACACTAAAGATGATAAACACCTCATTAGGCTAGCTGTTTTTGTTATTTTTTATGTATTCTAAAAAATATATGTTTTATGAAGACTGTGAAGGCTTACCTGGTAGAAGTATATCATGAGTAAGTATTTGTATCTATTATTTGTTATTTGCTAACTTTGCTGTGAAAGGCAGTGGCATGTATTCATGGCTGCCAAGGGAAGCCATGCTTCCCCTAAAAATTGACAAAAAAATTATAATATTAAAAAACATATAAAATAATTGTTCTTTCGTCTCTCTGTGTTTTCATAATTGTCCTTCACAAGAGGCTGAATGTATCTCACCGGAGAAAGCATCCCAGCGAGCGAAACAGCGCCCCTCTGTCTCTCTACGTGTAGGCTGTGAATGGTCCTGGCGCACCAAAAACATAACTTCAATCACATCACATCGAGAGCAAAACTTCATTGACAGAAACAACTTGAATTGTTGCATCTCGTTGTGTTGTTGTCGTGGGTGGCTAACTAGCTAAAATTGTCTCTTTCCTAAGTTAGCCATGGATGGAGACAGGGATTTGGACTTGTAGTTTTACTTAATTCTCCGTACTGGCCAATGATTATAAAGGCAATTCTGATCCAACCATAAATTCATACATTGTGCCCCTGTCCTGAGAGGATGGAAGTTCAATATGTAGCCAGATGTAGAAGGCTAATGTTAACTAGCTAACGTTGCACATGGAAAGAAGTTAGTCTAGCGAGCAAGCATTTTAGCCAGGTAGCCTAGGACAACAAAAACTAAAAGTGTGTACTGTATGATAGAGTCATAGACCGTTTCATCAACATGAAAGAGAGGAGGATGGCATTGGCGTTTCTCTACAAGTTCGGTGAGTCATGTTTTTTCTACTTACGCACACACACATTCACACATACACACACACACATACACACACACACACACACAAATCAGAACCATGGACACATCATATTTAGCTTACGTTGATTGGACTCAATTGTTTTTGGTATCTTTTAGTTGTCACTGTATTAGACTAAGCAGAGGTGATTTGATGATGTTGAAATGTTGCTGGAATAGAGGAGGCAGCTCCTGTTTTATTTGTGACTTGCGGTAACTCTGTGGTTCTAAATGAAATGTAGGAAACATTGACTTGCTTAACCCTGCTGTAGGTCATGTACTGCAACTGTTTGTTACATGCAATATGCTTTGTGGACTTCACCGGACAGATGTTGCTCTCCGGTTTTGTGATGAAAAGAAGGTGTAGTTGAATTTATTCTACCACTGTGTCTTCTTATTGTCTCGGCCTTTAGGCCTATATATCACAGTGGCAAGGCATTTCCTACTGTCTCCTGTCTCCTATATCCTGTCTCCTCCTGTCTCCTCTAGACTCCCGAGTGGCGCAGTGGTCTAAGGCCACTAGAGATCCTGGTTCGAATCCAGGCTCTGTCGTAGCCGGCCGCGACCGGGAGACCCATGGGGCGGCGCACAATTGGCCCAGCGTCGTCCAGGGTAGGGGAGGGAATGGCCGGCAGGGATGTAGCTCAGTTGGTAGAGCATGGCGTTTGCAACGCCAGGGTTGTGGGTTCGATTCCCATGGGGGGCCAGTATGAAAAAAAATAATAATGTATGCACTCACTGTAAGTCGCTCTGGATAAGAGCGTCTGCTAAATGACTATATATGTCTCATATATCCTGTCTCTTACCGTTTCCTACTGTCTCCTGTCTCCTATATCCTGTCTCCTCCTGTCATCTCCTATATCCTGTCTCCTCCTGTCTCCTATATCCTGTCTCCTCATATCCTGTCTCCTCCTGTCTCCTCCTGTTTCCTCCTATATCCTGTATCCTCCTGTCTCCTCTTGTCTCCTATATCCTAGTCTCCTGCTGTCTCCTCCTGTCTCCTATATCCTGTCTCCTCCTGTCTCCTATATCCTGTCTCCTATATCCTGTCTCCTATTCCTGTCTCTCCTATATCCTGTCTCCTCCGTCTCCTGTCTCCTATATCCTGTATCCTCCTGTCTCATCTTGTCTCCTATATCCTATATCCTATATCCTGTCTCCTATATCCTGTCTCCTATA